TGCCCTCTGTTCGCTATTTGACTCCAATTCCGTTATCATTTTTATGTTCAGCAGATTAAACGTGAGTGTCTTGATTTCAATTCCACCAGACACTTATATTCGATTTGACAAGAATAGCATAACAAAACACCTATACACTAAATAGTTTTTTTTTTTTTTTTAAATTCAGAGATTTATAAAAACGTTAAATATAGAAAGTAATACCTGCATGACATTGTTTGAATTTATCAAAGATTGCAAGTGATTCTTCTATTTACTCATCATACTCTACTAATTTCGCATTATGCCTAGTAAGAGTTGGATTTAAATCTTTCCGGTTGACCACTAATACATTGCGATGTCTAAAATTCATAGATCACTAAGAGTTATAGTTAAGTTACTACTGCCAAATTTCATAATACGTCCATTAGGCTTTTAATTTAAGCGATTAATATATACAACATTTTATTGAACATTAAACAATACACTTAATACTGCTCAGAAAGAATAGTAGGCAAGAGGAGTTGGGCCAGATATGTCCTAATAAATGTTAAATTTGTAAAGTTAGTTGCTAAGACATAAAAAAAAAAAATTATATCTATTTATTATGTACTAGATTTGTTCACGTAACGGATTCTGCACTATAGTATAATAACTACATCACACTAATGAATAAAACTAGACTTTATGATATTAAGCCTTAGCATAATTACAACAAATCGATAAACATTTTAGAAATTCGATTTCATACTAATCATTAACTAAGTCAAAAATAATTATGGTATAGTTATTATAAGAGTTTCATAATCAAAAAAAAAAAAAAAAAAAGGATTTACCTCAAGTTTCAACCAAACTTTAATCGACAGTATATTATTGCTTATGCAGCTCACAACCTCAACGATGAAATAATTATCTATCATTATTATAGCATAGTAACCCTGTAAGTTATACCAATTCCTTGATTTAATATACCCTACATAATTTTATTTATTTCATAACAGTAAATATTCTAACTGAATTCACGATAATAAAACACCTAATTGGATAGTTTTCTATAATTAAAGTAATTACTCCATTTGATAGAAATTCGATCAAGAAAAAAATAATCATCTTATCTATAAAATTATCTAGGTCTATTGGAATGCACAACGTTATTTTTACGATATTTACACAGGAAAATAAATATAAATGCAAATTTCATACTAGAAATTCATTTATTTTTTATTGTTCAATAGCTATCATTAATCAATTTCTATTGCATCATTATTTTGCATTTCTTCATAGCTATCTACATCTATAATATTTTCATCATAATAATCCAGTTCAACTTCTTTATCTGGATCATTATCCAGCTTACCATTGCCTAGCTCATTATCGTCAAGCTCATCATCGTCCAGCTCACCATCGTCCAGCTTACCGTCGTCCAGATCACCATCGTCCAGCTCACCATCGTCCAGCTCACCTTCGTCCAGATCACTATCATCCAGCTTACCATCGTCCAGCTCACCATCATCATAATTTGGTTCTTCATCTGAAATTATGTCTTGGATTGGCAATTTGTCTAAGCGGTTTGTGACAATAGCTTGGAGGCGGTGCGACATTTTATCATCTTTATTACCGTTAGGATCAAGTGTGAGCCCGGCTGCTTCGAAATATTTAACTAAAATATTTGGGCTGATTTCTTTCCATATCTCAGACACCCATTCACAGATAAGTTCATAGGATGCTTTTTTTTGATTTCCTTTCTTAGTATATATATTTTTTTCTTTATCCATCCATTCTTCCCATCTTTTCCTTATTCCACTTTTAAAAGGCTTGTTTACAGAGACATCTGGTGGCTGCAAAACACTAGTGGTTCCTCCGGGTATTTCTAACACATCCAAGCCTTCTTTATTAAATGCTCTAATTACATCATCACGATTATGGCTACGATGTGCATCAACAAAAATAATGCCTTTGCTTTTGAAAAATCTATTCAGCCTAGCTCTAATGACTCGTGGAATATATGTGGAAATCATTAAATTTCTAGTCATAGTTGCAGAAGGTGCAGGTGCTACCACAATATCTCGTGGGAATTTGCCTTTTGGTTTTTTTTTCAATTTAAAGATTACTGTTGGTGGGAGTTTTTCGCCAGCTGCTATATAACCCAAAACCACTATAAATCGTAGTTTTTCATTGCCTGTGGTTTTAACTAGCACCTTACGAGAACCTTTGAAATCAATTGTCGAATCCCGTGGCATATCGAACCACATAGGCGTTTTGTCAAAAGATAAGATATAATTTTTTTCAATGGTATGCGTTTTTTTACACGAAGTTTTAAGAAAATTTTTAATGATCAAAGGTATGTCCTCAGGGACTTTTTGTGCTATTTGCGTTCTGGCACGCTTTACTAATTTATGTTGTTGTTTGAAACGTTCGGCCCAACCACGCGAAAACTTCATACCCCTAATACTCATAGTTTCACCTAAATTTTTGGCTTTTTTTATAATCATTGATGTCATCACCATGCCTTTTTCTTCCCTTCTTGTTTTAATAAACTCCAACAGCTCTTTTTCTAACATAGGTGTGCTGCTTTTTGACCACGACCTTCAAGCACCCGCACTTGTTCTATATTAAAATTTCTGTTTTCTCTAATTTTTTCAAACTCTTTTTTCTGCTTGCGCCACTTTTGAACACGTCTACGGTCAACATTATAATACAGAGAAGCTTTACGATTGGAGGTATTTTCCGCGTACGAGATTACTTCAAGCTTGAACACAATAGTGAAACTTTGTTTCGGGTTCATATTCACTTGCAAACGGAATAAACAACTTGTGCACTGAAGCTAATAAGGATAACGTTGCATTTTATATTGAACACTCATATAATACAAAAAAAAATAATAATAATACATACCACACTATAAGTTACTTCACGATTTCTTAAGGCCAATGCATCATTTGGTTCAATTTTTGATGACTTAGTTAAGAAGTCATTAAATGGATCCTTATATTTGCTCATAATACGGTAAGTTACCTCCATTTTTTCTTGGTAAAGGTGTATTATCAGCAATAATGATAATATGGCATCATTATAAGTAAATTATTACAATAAAAAATAGTCTTATTAAAAAAAATATAGTCCTATGAAGTTAATTCTTTAAAAAAAAAAAAGCTTCAGGAATTTGAGTTAAATACAATTTCAAGTGAACTAAGCAAACCTGTAGTGTTACATAGTAAGTGTTGGATTACGCCAAGAAAAACTAAAAATTACGATTTTAGAAATTTCACAAAAGACGCCGCTATCGTTAACTAATTTAGGCTAAAATTTCCAAAAACATTTTTTTTTGGGGATTCCTATACATAGCGATCTTAAGATCAAGGAATAACTGTGTTAAATGAATCAGTAGTGCAATGCTCTGAAAAGTAAAAATAGTACGTAAACGCTTGACTCTAATAATATATATATTGATATTTTTTTTTTTTTAAATAAAAGTCGCCATCATACTTTATGATTTATAATCGTCGTGAACCCAAGCAAATCGACCTTTCGAGAAAGAGTGCAAATGCCTAAAAT